CAAAGATTAAGAAATGCTATAAAGAAGCTTCCTGAGCAGTCTAACAGTGGCTCCCATGTGGTCATGCAGCAAAATGCATGTGCACATAGTCCTGTTATTTTTAATTTCTACAGTGTGTAGGCTGGACAGTCTTAATTAATGAAGAATTGCATGATAATTTGTCTCTACTCTTCAGTGGGTTGCTTCAGGCTTACTTCCTGCACACTATCTCAACCCCCCTCTGCAGTGGGAGTTAAGAACCAAGCAGGGTTTTTTGTGAAGCTTGTCACAAAACAACTTTCTCAGCAATGCAGTTAAGGGGATTATTAACCTCTTTTTTTGTAAGCAGGAAACGGAGCCTAATTGTCTCCATTTGAAATATTACATTAAAAGTGCTGGTTCATTCTTTTTGTTCAGTTTGACTTCGTTGTCTTCAGCTGCACCTGGAGCACTCCTGGTCACAAACCCCACCTGTCAAGTTGGGCACTCATAAACATATTGCATAAGAGTGATTATTTACAATGGATTATCCATATTTGCAGGCAGCAAATAAGCACTTGAGGCAGGGGTAGAACCTAATTGTAGTGCCAAAATTCAGCTGGATTTTTATCCACCAGATTCTTTGGATGAAACCTACTGGTTACAGATGGATTAGGTACTTCACCTGAGCATGAAAAAGTACTTTGATAAGTATTTGCTTTGGCAACTGGAGGTTTGAACTTAGAACCCCTGGTTTCTGGAGGTTTTCTTTGGTGGCCCCCAGCTCCTCTGCCTGTCCTGTCTTATTGTTCCCAGTCCCATGAATTCCTGGCCTGTTGTCCCCAAAGGAACACCAGACAAATGAGGAACTCAGCAACATCTCCCTGCTCCGCTCAGGATCCTGTGGGGGCAGTGAAGGTTCCACCTCTGTTGTCTGACCTGTTAAAGATTCTGATTCCAGTCATTTTCTGGACTTGCGTGCAAATGTCAGGTTTTTAGGAGGTTAATATTTTGGATCAACTTTGCTGTGATTTTACCAGAGAGAAACCATCAAACCTCTGGCAAAAAATTGCTCTGCAGCTGACATTGAAGTGCATGTTCCAGACGAGCCATGACCAAAGGAATTGAGGAGCAGTCAGTGGGAAGTTTCTCCATGAACTCTTTATAAGTTTGTCAGAATTTTTAAGTACTGGAAAACAGAGTTTGCTGATGGGAGTGTTATAATACCTTAATAGCAGTTAGGGCTACCAGCCATGCCTGTAAGAGATATTGTATGAGTTAGTTACCCCAGAATGATGGGGGGGTTGGCCCTGACTGGGTGTCAGGTGCCACCAAAGCTGCTCTGTCACTGCCTCCTCAGCTGTTTGGGGAGAGAAAATACAATGAAACATTTGTGGGGCAGGATAAGGACAGGGAGAGATTAGTCAGCAGGTACTGACACAGCAAAACAGGCTCAGTGGGGGAAATCACCAATTTATTACCAATCAAATCAGAGTAGGATAATGAGAAATAAAACTGAATCTGAAAACACCTTCTCCTCAGCCCTCCCTTCTTCCTGGGCTTTCCTTTACTCCCAACTCTCTCTGCCTCCTCCCCTGAGCAGTGCAGGGGATGTGGAATGGGGCCTGTGGGCAGTTCATCCCATCCTGTCTCTGCTGCTGCTTCCCCCTCAGTGGAGGATCCTCACACTCCTCCCCTGTTCCAGGTGGGGTCTGTCCAGGGCCTGGGGGAAGCTTCTGGCAGCTGCTCACAGAATCCACCCCTGCAGTCCCCTCTCCCCCCAAAACCTGACCATGCCAACCCAGTACAAGTGAGCTCCACAGATTTGACCTTCAGCTTCTTCTGCCATCCCTTTCCTTTAGTTCTCTCTGTTAAACAGCGTCTTGGATTGTTTGAGGCAGCTCAAATGGCATTTTAGCATTGTCTGTTTTGTTTGTAAGAAGTCTTCTGGATTAATGATTAGAAATAAAATTGAATTTATTTCAGATTTTGCACATTCAAATCTCAACTTGAAGGTCATATGCTGTTAAAATGAAGTTTTACATAATACTTAGTGAAGCCATGTATTGCAAGACATGTAAAGAGATGTCATGTGAGTTGTGATGAACCTGGCCCTGCTTTTGTGGTCATGTTTGCTCAGATGCTGTTGGAGTATTTTCTTTTCTTCCTTTTGTGGCTGAAAGTGGCCAAGTTTATTGACAGGACTGCTCATGACAAACAGATGCCACACACTTGTCAAAAGTGAGCTCTCTTGCTTTGTGGAGCAGAGAGTGCTGCTGGTACCTGGAGTGTTCCTCAGTGGGTGCTTCTGTAGCACAAACCACAAGTGTATCACAAGCCTGTGCCCAAGGATTCACATACTGACTGTGGCAGTGTAAATTGCCTTGGTTGGATAAAGCTGTGAATGCCAGCTCAGCTCTGTGTGTGACAGGCATCCTCCAGTGTCCCCCTGGAGATGGGGAGTGGGTTTTATATATATATATAAATATATTTATATATCCTGTGTTCATTCATGTTCTATTCTCCTGCCTCTTGATGTCTGAGCACAGGGCAAAAGTCTCTCTAACATGACTTTTGTGTATTTAGGAAATGTAAAAATATCTGATGTCTAATAAAAAATAATAGTTAGATTTGCAAATGTGTTTCTTTCTAACCCTCTTGGTAATTTTGGGATTTAATAGCATCCTACCAAACCTCAGCAGTTTCTCTTTAAGGAACATCATAAGTTCTTTTATATTGTTCCAGTGGGAGCTTGACACATTGGGTTATGGGTTTTTTTTTGCTTAGTGCAATGCTGATAATTTTTGTTTTCTTTTTGATTGATTCCTCATGAGATCTGTTTACAGCTCTCCTTTCCTAGAAAACACAGCTTTTTGTTTCTAAATATTTTTTGCGTGTTCTTCTTGAAGCATTTGTGTTGGGAGTCCTCAGAGTGTCTTCTGGCAACTTGTAGCTGTCATTTGAAGATCATTTCCATGATATTTAAGAATTTCTCCAGGCTAGTTCCTTGTTCTGTTTCTCATCCCCTCGTTTCATACTTACCTTTTTAACACTCAGGAGTTTTGGAACCACGTTAGGAAACTCTTGCATTACTTTGTTTGCAGTTCTCTGCCGCTGAGGCTTTTTCTTCATGTGCAACACATTAATAGATTTTACTGCCAAAAGGCTTTTGTCACTATTGATTTTTAAAACTGAGGGGGAATTTAGTCTTCAAGTTGCACAGTTTGCTGTGGTCTGGCACAGTGGAACACGTAGCTTGATAATATTATGATAGTGAAATTTTCTGTTTTAATATTTTACAGTGCAGTTTGTGTTTGTGGATTTCTGGCTGCAGATCTTGCCTGGAACTGAGTAGCTGCCAGAAGTGTTCCTGGTTATCTGCTAGTTCTGTAAATCCTCACCTCTGGAAGCATGTACTGATAAGAAAGGGGGCAGATATCCCAGGTCTGCTGCATTTTTGGGTTGGAAACACTGGTTATAAGCAAATGAACAAGATACACAATATTTATATTTTTAAAGGCAAACATTCATCAGGTAAATATAGTTTCATTCTACCAGTATTTTAAAATTAAAACAAGTGGTCATTTTTAGAATGGAGAGAAGAGGTGGGGGTATTTAAACCAGGAAAAGCTTATGAGATCCCTCTTCCAAAAAAAAACCCAGACAAGTCTTTCCCTTCAGGGTGGTGCTGTTTCTTACCTCTAGGCTGTCTCAGTATGGAAGGCAACCCTAGCCAAGATTTTAAAAATCTTGAAAGCTTTACATACAACAGCAACAACAAAAAAAGAAGCTTTTGTTCAGATGTCAGGTAGATTTATTTGATTTGGTTTTTTTCCTCCTTTTTTTCCCCGAGTACAGAAGATTGATATCCAGTAGAGGATGTTGCTGGACTGATTTGTAAGGAATGCTTGGGGCTTTGAATGCCTGCCTGGGCCTCTGCTGCTTTTGGAGATCTCTTAGAGTATGCTGGATGTTCTGTGAAGAAGTATTTTATGTAGGTTTAGTAAGCAGTGTAAGAATCTAAAATAAGCAGTTTTTTATAAAAAATATTAATTATAGAGACATAGAAATTAAAATGTAAAGCAAGGGAAATTAGTTTTATCTTGTGGGAAACAATACTGTCCATGATTTATTACTCCATCCACTTAGAAAATTTGTCTTTTCTAAGTGTGTGTTTGAATGTAAATCTTAATAAATGCGAGTTATAAGAGACCAGTGTGGCCTCCCTTTTTAATAATGAGTGGTTCTTGTTTTGTCACTGTTCCACATTGTGTGCTGTGTTTCTTTTCATATTTCTTACATTCCTGTAGAATTAAATAACTCTTCTGGAGACATTTTTTTGTTTCTAAATCTTGTCCTTTTATATGATTGAAACAAATAAAAAAATAATTAATATGTTGCTGCATGAGATGATTTCCTGAGCTGCAGAGTGTGGTACTGAGTGAGAGCCTGTGAGTCAATCGTGTTCCTTTGTGTGCACTTCCCAGTCCAGTCACCGTCTGATTCCAGAGCCTTGGTTCTGTGACAAAGGTTCTCCGAATGCTTAGACTTCATTTCTCTGCAAGTTCGTTTCCTGTATAATCCATTCTGAAATTATTTTCAAGATGTTTTTCTGCTCTCTGAATTTTCTCTCCATATGAATTGTCTTAAAGAAAAAAAGCACTGGAACAGGCCAGTAAATACCAAGAGGACCGATACGTGTTACTGGCAATGATGAACTCAAATATTGATGAATAGTGATGTGTAAATATTACAGCTGAACTAATGCATCACATTTTTGCAGCTCACATCCGTTTTTTCAGTCTTTTCTTTATAGCTGTATAAGCAATAGCTTTTTTGGGAGAAATAGTGAAAACTTATTGAATGTAAGGGCTCAATTTTCCATTATTTGTGAATATATATTTAAGATTGCATTACTGGTTTGGATTTTTTTTTTTTTTTATTCTCCCAGCACTAAAATGATTGTTCCTTAATAAGAAGTCTTGGAGATGGAGTTAGTAAGGAGAAGGGATAAAACCAAACCGCTGTTTTTCCTTTCCCAGCAGCCGACGCCCGTGGCCACGTCCACCGTCCGCCTGGGCCTCCCGGTGCAGGCCAAGGTGGTGCAGCCGCCGGCTGCGCCCGCCAGCGCCGCTGCCACGCTGCCAGGGGGGGCTGTGCTGGCACACACCACGGTGAGAGGGCACGGGCAGCTGAGAGCGGGGCAGGGAAAGGGGTGGGGGTGGGTGGGATACAGCCAGGAACCTTTTTGGGGATGCCATCAGGGGTTATAGTGATAGGGTGAGGGATAACGAGTTTGGACCGAAGGAGCAGAAATTTAGGTTTGGTGTACGGGTGAAATCCTTCCCTAGGAGGGTGGGCAGGCCCTGGCACAGGTTGACCAGAGAAGCTGTGGCTGCCTCATCCCTGGAAGTGTCCAAGGCCAGGTTGGACGGGGCTTGGAGCAACCTGGGCTGGTGGAAGGTGTCCCTGCCCATGGCAGGGAGTGTGATGGGATGAGCTTTAAGTTTCTTTCTCACCCATTCTATGATTTTGCAACACTGTTCTCTGGAATTTCATTTTAAGAGAAATTTAAGAGAAATTTTAAGAGAAATTTAATTTCATTTAAGAGGCTCACTTGTGTAGCATTTTTCTGACAGTCATTTAAAAATTTCCAGGGGGGTGGAACAAGGTGAGCTTTAAGTTCCCTTCCAACTCAAACCATTCCATGATTTTATACTTTACATGGGGTTTTGGAAAATGAATTTTAATGTTCATATCTTTCCTTTTATTACCAATGTAATCCCAGAAATTAATAAAGAATGTACAGTCAGACTTTATTATGCAGATCCTTAGGGATAGCCTAGGCTTTATTTTCTCCCATTTCCTAGATGATAATAAGTTTGAGGGTGGTATAGATTGAGTTTTTTTAAAGAAAAAACTCCAGTGAGGTGAAGCTGTAGATCCTGTTTCAGTGGTGGACATGCTGCACGTGCCCAGCTGGCCCAGGACAGCTTTGTTCACCAGGGCTGTGCAAAAGTGCTGGCTCAGATGGCCTGGGCAGCTGCCTTAGTGCATTTGTGTCCTCTGGCTCTGAACCGGCACTGGAACTGTGGGATGGAAGTTGTAAACCTGATAGCACCACCCCACATCACTGGGAATGGGCTTGTTCATATTAAGATCTACGGAAAGTTGAGTGTCAGAAGTCACACCATTGTAGTAATCTTAAAGGTTTGGGTGATAGCAACTGATTTTGTGGTGGTGCATTTATTTGTGTAATAAAAGGGACTTTAAGTGAGGACTTGAACTGGTCATGGAAGGGTGGCAAAAATGAAGTCAATGGTTTTATTTTGTCAGTAAGGCTGTGTTTGAAAGGAAACAAGGTTGAGTAAAATCATTAAAATAATTACCTGTTTTTTCAATATGAAATGTCAACAGATATCAGTAGCTACGACAAGTGCTCAAAATTTGTTCAAGACAACAGTAGCAACTGGAACTTCAGCTTCTCAGCAGCCTGCAGTGCTCACTGGTGGACAGAGCCAAGGCCCAGCACAGCCCCAGGGTCAGCCCCGGCTGCCGCTGCCACCTCACACGGCAGCACAAGTGCCAGCACAGCCCCTGGTCATCCCCAGCTCTCCTGTGCCTGGAACCACCGTTGTGTCCCAGGCAAGTGTTCAAATCCTGGTGCTTTGTGAACTACTGGGGTCTGAGTTCTGATTTGATTTTACTGCTGCAACTGCTTTGCACAGAAATACACTGAATAAATAATTGAACAAATCAGAATAGCTTGGGGAACGTTGGTGCATTGTGTATTGGGCATCTCAAAGGGGAATGCATCTCCAGCAGATTGTTGTGTTACTTTTCATATTTGAGGTTATTTTTACCAAAGCAACCTGTAAAATATAAAATACATTTCTTTCACTGCTTTTTGCTGTTTTTATTTGCGAGCTGTGATGTTCAGTCACAGGAAGAAGTGAAGAAAGTATCAGGTAACTTGCAGCCATGGCAGAACAGCTGCAGATTTATTTCACGTGCCCTGTCTGAATTTTTAACAATGTCATCGTTTTCCTTATTTGTGGTGGTCAGAGCATGCACTGATCCTGATGCAAAAGTAGCATGGATCTGATACTTGTTTTCTTTGGCTTTTGCAGGAAATGCAAGAGAATGTGAAAAAATGCAAAAACTTTTTAGCTACCCTTATAAAACTTGCTTCTCATAATTCACCGTCTCCAGAAACGTCCCGCAATGTGAAAGCTCTGGTTCAAGATTTGTTGGTAAATATTTAGTTATCTTTTCTTTTGTCAGTTATTCATTTACATAGGCTGAAAATGATTGCTGTGATCTTAATTCTTTTGGCTGTAATGAAAGGGAACTCCATCCAAATGTGAGTATTCTGTGTGTTCTGTGTCTTCAAGGAGCTGTTAAAGGCAGCCTTTCTCTGACTTTCTGAAAGGGGAACTGCAGCAAAGTATTTAGGATGCATTTGTCAAAAACACTCTTGTTTTGGTGGGGAATATTTTCGTCATTTCTTTAGAAAACCAGAGTAAAATACAGGATTTTTCCTTGAGGGTTTGTTAAATTTCTTTTCCTCAAGCCATGGTCTTTCCTGAAACAGTGAGAAGCTGTTAATTGTTTTAAGCACAGAGTGGATGTAGATATTGGCCTTCACAAGGTGGGTTAGACTTTCTAGGACTGAAGGAGAAGGATTTTGCTGACCTGCTGAGTCTGGACTTGCTGCAGTCTCCAGTAAAACAGATGGTTCAGCCAATTGTATCGATGAGGTCCAGGCAGATGTTACTGTGGAAGTGGAAAAATGGTCAAACTTCTTAAAAAGAAATGAAATATAGTCAATGAAGACGTTGGATTTAAAAGTAGTTGCTATATATTTCTCTGAATGCATTGCCAGAGAAACCTGTATGTTTGAGACAAACCTAGGACTGTTTTCAAGTGTGAGCCATTCAACAATCATGTTGAGTGGTTACAGTAAAAACTCGTGTTACCTTTGCAAACTTGGCAATATTAAATAACTAAAGGTAGCTACTTACTGTATTTTAAGCAAAGTAGCAACACACATATAGAATAAGTACATTTATCAAAGCTTGTTTGCTTTGTTTTTTTCTCTTGTTTACAGATTGATTCTGTATCAGTCCAGGAGAGCTGATGAATGGTTTTATTACAACCTGAGGTTGTAACTAGTGATCCTTCAGAAATATTATAAAATGCACCTGAGTTATAGAGTTCTCCTGTATTAACTACAAAATAAACTACTGATTATGTGTTTGATATACTTATAAGTGTATATTTTGTGATTATATAGACAGATTCATACATCTGACAATTTTGTAGTTACTTATAAATGTACTTTTTATATGTACCTGTGCTTTACATGTATAGTTTTATATATACACATTCTACTAAGTTAAATTGTACCAACAGAATTGGGTTTGGAATGAAGTATTTAATATTTTCCTGTTACAAGGCCTGACAAATTTTACTATAGTTTGTAATGTTGCTTCAATAATCTGTTGTTGTTGTTTTCTTTTCATTTTAAAAAACAAATCACTCTGTAAATGTTAGCAGAAGAATGGAATCCCAAAAGAGGCTTGGGTGTATTTGGGGTCTTCTTGTGTCTGGAATGGTGCATCCCAGGGGAGCTCCCTGGATGTTGAGTGGATGTTACAGGTGGGAATTGGCTCTTGACTGAAGGATCTTAGAGAGCAGTTGAGGAATTTCAGCTCCAGAAGTTCTGCTTGATATGGCAGCCTATTCTGTGAGGGATAAATGTGGATATTTTAGCTGGGAAAGAAACAACCAACCAACTGAACTGAGTTGTTGATGCTTTTTTTTTTTTTTTTCTTCCCCCGAAGGATGCAAAGATTGATCCAGAAGAATTTACAGGCCGCCTTCAAACAGAACTCAAATCATCTCCTCAGCCATATCTTGTACCTTTCCTTAAGGTAATGTGGATGTTGTTTGGAGCAATCTGTTTCAATGCAAATCTCTATACCCTGAGCCTTAGAATATCCTTTCTGAGTGGTGTTAGCCTGTCCTGCCTAGAGCAGCACTGCTCCCTTTTTACTTCCTGCTGCCCGTTTCTGCCCAAATGCTCTTGGCTGGCAGTCCCTTGCAGGCTCCCTCTCAGTTATTCCAGCCAGGAGCTGTTCCCTGGCAGGCTGGGAGAACAGTGAGAAACAGGGAATTCCTACAGGAGGGAACACCTCGTGTTTGGGGCCTTGGCTTAGGTTTGGGAACAATGCATTTGTCATCCAGAGCTGATCTGGAATTCATGGCTCGAGTAGCTCTGGCTTAGAACGTTGCAGTAATTAGATTTATATAAAAAAGCAGTTACTTTCTAGTTTGGAAATCACCCATTGGCTGTTCTAGAGTCATCCTTTACTTTTATAGAAAGTACACTCTTCTGTGGTAGTAGGTACTTTTTTGGGAAGAAGTACAGCATTCACATTTGGAGGAGTCAGAAGTTATTTCTACAGATCACTTCAAGTGTTTATTTAATAAGATATTCCATATTGTTTTTGTTATCCATGTTTGGGTCATTGTTAACTTGCAATCCATGTGTAACAATGATTATGAAAAACTAAAATGGAGATAATGGTATTGAAATAATTGATTAGATGATCCTGCTTGTAATCTGGAACTAATCAGCAGTATAATTTCTGATGTGATACCAAGTGGATTGATTGGTGGGTCCTAAGTTAGTATACAAGGGGATAAATTTAACTTTTTATTGGTTCTATACATTAACTACAATAACTGCAAGATTATATTCAAACATACAAAACATGTTTAATTGTCTCCCAACAAAACCACAAATACAATTTTAAAAGCATTTTTCATCTAGTTCAAAAACTCCTCTGTTTAGGGCAGATTTCCTCTTTTCTCCTGCAACTTTTCTTCAGAACTTTCTCCCTCTGCTTCCGTGTTTTCAAGTTGTCATTAACCCTTATTTGTGCCTTTTCCTGCAGTCACTTCTGGCATCACGATAAGTTTTGACTTGTTCCCTGTCTTTGAAGCCCCTTCTTGGCACAACAGGCATAAAGTTTTTAAATGAATATGATAAATTTAGAAAGAACTGTAGCTTGAGCTAAACACTGTTGCATTCTACAGCTGCCTGGGGGGAGCACTTCAGATGTGCCACTTAAAAAGTACGAAGTCTGTTCCTGCAGGTGCAGGATAGCCTTGTAGAACTGTATTTTTTCTTGAAGTGGTTTGAAGATGAAGGATACAATGGTACACTTTTCTAATGCAGTCAGAGTACCCAAGATCTGTAATAATACAGTCAAAAGCTGTTGCTGCAGAGCATCAGCAGTTAAGTCACCTTGTTCTAGGTACTGGAGGCATGTCAGGAGAAGTAAAGTGCAGCTTGCTTCTTCTAACATGCAGTGGGAATGGGGTTCTTCCCACAGCTCAGCCTTTTCTGCTTCCAGTTTTGCCCTTCCAAAGGCCCAAACTACAAGTTCTAGATAGTCTGGAGAAGGAGAATGTTATATCTTAACTGCTGCAGTGGAGTTCAGGGCACATAAAAAACTACAGGGGTTGCAAAATCCAAATTGCGAGCTTATGAAAAATGTAAATTGAACTTTCCTACAAAATGTGTTCAATCTCAGTTCCGTTTGCTGAGTTGGCCGTCAGTAAAATTGGAAAGAAAGTTGTGTTCTTTTAATTGTGTTTGTAGCAAATTTCAAGATATTTTTGTGCCAGCCTGCTAAGTTTGCTATGTCATAAACTCTCTTCTGTTTTTAGAAAAGTCTACCTGCATTGAGACAATCTTTACTGAACAGTCAGCATTTGGTTTTGCAAGGACAGCCGTCTCAGCAGCCACTTCAACAAAGCAAGCTCTCACAAGTGATACCTCAGTCTGCCTCGGGAAGCATCTCCTCTGTTGTCACCACACAGACAATAGGAATAAGGCAACCAAACAACATTTGCACAGTCTCTGTATCAAATACAGTGCAGCCTCCTCAGGTTAAGGTGGTACAGTCAAATCAGAGTTCTCAACTGGTAGGTACTGTAGCATAAAAGAGAATTTCTTTGTGAACTGTGTAGCAGTTTTCAGTGTTATTTTTATTGCAGCTTTTTTTTGGGAAAATACTTTGTTGTTTGCACCATATTCTGTCATCCATAGCAGCACCTCGTTTTGTGTCATTTCACATGTATGCTCAACCATTAGTTTACATAACATCATTAACAGTTTAAATGTAAGGAAGTGCACCCTTGGCCTTTTTGTCTGCAATCCAGTGATTGTTGTGTGAGCAGAGTGGAATCTGAGGGAATTACAAACCCAGAACAAAAGCTTGTCAAGACTTACAAGAGGATAATGTTCAGTCTGTCATTAGATATGCCGCTTTGCTTAGATTAGTCTGCATTAAAATTAACTCTCTCATTTTAGAGCTCTTCTTCACACAGTTATAAAATCTCGTAGAAGAATAGCTGTAGCAGGATGTTCTGTTTAGAAACAATGCCATTCTTTGTTACTGAAATGTATCTTTGTTGTGCATAGTGGAGTATTATGTGTTTAATTAATTTCAAAGACACTATCAGTAAGGCAGATGAATTTATGTAGGAGCTTGTGTGTGTGTTTCCAGCTTTAATTAAAATATGTTAAGGATCTTTACAAGGCCTTGAGTTTATAGAGGTGTTATCATCCTTCAAGCAAAGATGTGAGAGTTTCTTTGTCTGTGGTTTCTGTGTTTGTGTGAAGTAAAGGACTTGACTGAGGTTTCAAAACCAAATTGGCAGGTTCCAAAAGGTGTATCAAGTTGGCAAAAATTTATATTATCAAGGTTGAGAACTGCAGATATGATTATGTAAAACCTTACAGGGATCTATAAAGGCTATAAATAATTTGTAGGGTGTGGGGAGAGAGAATGGTTCTTGTGCTTTAATTTAAAAGTAGCAGTGCACAGTCTGAAAATGTCTGAGCCGTGTCTTGAACCTTCCAAATACTTTCTAGTGGTTAAATTACTAACTTTAAAATGAAATTAATATAATTTCATCGTCCTTTAGTGAGCATAGTTTCCATGTGTAAGAACATCTTGGGTGCTGAGGTTTCTGACTGTGCCTGCTGCAATGCCCACAAGAGCTGGGTGTTTCTCACCTGACTCAGTGCTCTCTGTTCAGCCACTTGCATTCTTTCTTGTTTTAATATGGATTTTCCCCACCCCTTCTGGATTCTTGTATAAACTAGAAAAGTGTTCCTCACGCTGTGTGTGACATCTCTTTGGTTTGTCCATGTTTCAGAGGACTGAATGGACAGGAGCTTTGGCTCCTCAGGGTAGAGGGGCAGGAACTGGTGGTAATTACAGTAGGTGTAAAAATTCCTCCCTGTCCAGGGAAAGCAAATATCTGACAGCAGCTGACAGATTGCTTGCAAGTGGAAACATCCATGGCCAGTGAGTCTGGCCTTATGCCACAGTCTTAAGACTTTAAGGTAACAATGCTTTTCCCAGTGTTGGGAACCCACCTAAACACTCCTGTGCCCATCTGGCAGTTGTACCCCACCTTTTGGGAAACACCAGTGTCCAACCAAAATGTGTAAGTCCACGGGAATTCTTGCTCTTAGGATTGTGGTTCTTGTGGAGTATTTTCTGAGTGGAAGAAAGCCATGTTTGTGGGAGAGACGCCTTCTGTCTCGTGTCAGGGGGTACTCAGAGCAAGCAATCATGTTAACCTGGGTGGAGATTACAGTGTCAGCTTATTCAGCATACCTGTGTCATAGGAGGGAGCTGAAAAGTGCTCAAGTAACACCTTGTGGAGATTGATCTGATGGGGAAAACGAGCTGGTTTTGTGTCTGTAAGGAGGTCACAGGTCTAGGGCTGAATTTTCATTTCCTGGGTACATGAAATGACTGCTGCATTTTCTAAAGGTCACAAACCATGCAGAGCAAAACTATGCTTTACTGTTCCTTTTCTAGAAACACTTAAGAGACAAGACAGTAAAAAAAAACCATGTATTGGCTTTAGTGTAAAACTGTCTTTTCGTATTTGCTTTAAATTTATCAGCCATTAATTAAGAGAACCACACATTACATTAACCAGGCACTTAACTGTACAGACAAAAGCAGCATTTACACAGTGAGAGCTGCTGTGAGATAGCACAACCCCCAACCCAGGTGCTGAGCAGAGAACCCAGCAGCAGCTCCACACCACAGCAGGGGTTGTTCCCAGGGAGTGATTTCTTGCAGTGACAGTGCTCCCAGTGCTCCCAGCCCTGAGTGCTCCCCGAAATCAGAGCAGAGCCCAGAGCTCCTGGCCATCTTGCCCTGGCCTTGTCCAGGAGATGAGGATTGCAGCTGCCTTGCCTGGGGGTGGCCAGCGCTGATGGAGCAAACTGGCTGAGCTCCAGAATTTCCAAGCCTGGAGCTCACTGGAGAGAGTTCCAGCTGGCTTTGCAAACTGTCCAGCTGCAGAAGGGCAAGCCTGTTTTAGAATAGAGATCTTTTCATACCAGCCAGTTTACAGTAGTCGAGTTTCCTTTAAAATGTGGAGAATCTGTGAGCTCTTCCTTTCTTTTGACATTTCTGTTTCACAGAGGGGTCAGATGAGGTGATACTTCCTCCAGTGGTATTGAGGTATCTTGCAGCAGGGAAATTCTGTGTACACTGTCAGCATGCAGCATAGCTTGCACAAAGGCTTTGAAATGTGAAGTGTTAGTGCAGATGGAAAAGGAGAGTATTTTTTATTCATTTTGTGAAGTATTGGAATCGTGTTCCAAACTGCAAAAAAGCAATGCTTGCAAGAGCTAGATAGTGCTACTTCTAGGTAGAGAAAAGGGGAATAATCTTAGGCTAATATTTTATTGATGAGACACTAATGAGATAAGCCAGCAATCAATTTTTTTAATTGCTCCAAGTGCAATGTTCAAAGTTGGTCTAAATTGCCATTCTTAGGGTCCATGTGCTCCACATTGCCTGTCTTGTTCTGGGTGTTACAGCAGGTACAATCTGTATGAATAAGAGGGATGCTGTTATTAAATGTGTTGAAGTTGTGAGTGGATTGATGGGTAGTGGAGATGGGTTAGCACTTTACATGCTGTGTTGACTCTGACTGCATCACGAGGAGGATACTCCTCGATGTTAAAACCAGTCACTAAATGTGAGTGATAAGGAAAACCAGTAAGAAAATCAGTGATCCATCTTAATTAAAACCAGTTTAATTATCTGCAAAGCTGTATGAAGACTTGTGCAGGTCTAGGATGAGGAAGGATGTCTAGAGATACATCTGGACTGTTCTTGCTGCAGCAAATTGGGCCCAGTGTCCAGAGGGGAGGCTCTGCCACCTTCTGCGTTCCTGTAGAACAGGATTTGCTCAAACATTTACCGACACTTTCCCAGGCACTGTCACGGTGCTTGGAGTCTCCCAGAAGGTGAGATGGAGTCATGGAATTTGGAAACAAGATACAACAGCAGAATAAACACTTTGTTGTCCGGGGATGTTGTGCTTTGCTCTCTCATTCTCTGCTGAAGCTTTTCCTGGCACCAGTTTCCTGTTCATGAATGGCTGTAACGTTTACACATTTTAGTGATTCATAGGAAATCATTTTCTCTTTGTTCTGTGTTCGAGGCAGCTTAGAAATGTGAGGGTAATAGATGGCTGTTTGGATAAAAGCAGTAGTTTCTGTTAATGAACTAATAAAGATCTAGTCACTGACTTGGAATCTGATGTACAATAAAATGTAAATAAAAGTGGCTGTTGAGCAGCAGGCACCTGAGATCCATTAACAGGAACAAAGCCTATACTTGGCAAATTGTGTGCCTGTTTGAAATACAGCCCAGTAGTTCTCTGAGTTGTTGTCATACACTTGCAGAGTTTTGTGGGCTGTACCTTAATATAAGGAGAATATTGTCACTGGTTGACGTTTGGAAACCAGTAACAAAAGAGAGGATTAAAAGCAAAGACTAAAAGAAAAGCTTAAATGAATTATTAAACACATGCCACTTGGTCAAACACCCACTAAGAGGAAGAATAAAAGACCATTATTTGGAGCAGACCAAGAAAGTATAAAAATGAACAACAGCATATAATTAAATGAAGTAGAATTTAGGTAGGGTATAAGGCAAAATATCCTTAGAGTGAGACAGAATATTAGATGGTAGATCAGGCTCCCAAAGACAGTGATGAAAAAGCCATAATTAAACCCATTCAAAAATAGACCATTTGACAAACTGTGTATGAAACTGGGGAGCAAGTGGGACAAGTGATCTGGTGGCTTCTGTTTTATTTTTCTTCATTGCTTTGTTGAAAACATATACCCAATGGAACAGTGTTGTTGTCATATTAACGTTAAAATTTATGTGCTGAGTTTTCAAAAAGTCAATCTTTTTTATTTTATTTGGGAGGAAAAATAATCTGCTTATGCAAATTTTGAGGCACTGTTGAAAAATTGTAGCTGCTGCTGATACAGCATGGGGAACAATGGTAAATATGAATTCTGGGCCCATGAAAGCATGAACATTGTAAGTTAATGCTGCCAGATTACATGATAGCTGAGGTTTGATATGACATTTATCTTCAGGAGTGAGTAGACTGATAAATCACAAGTGGCATAGCCACAAGTGAGTTAGCAAGTGTTTACTCATGAGTGAAGATAAATGTCATATCAGACCACAGCCATTCTGAATTTTGTATGTTTACAAGTGTCTTGTTTCTTCCTTCCACAGTGTTGCTTTTTTAACTTAATTGAGAGGGGGGAAAAAATGCTTGGTAAAGGATATATTTTTCAAATTTATTTTTATTTTCCATTCTTTGCAGAAGCTTCTGTTTCCTATGCTTTTGTCTTTATTGTGGTATTTGGTAGGTTGAAGCTTTTGGATCGGGTGCTTTTATTGCAAAGTGTGATTTTCTGTGAGTTGAGTCAGGCTGGGTTTGCAGCCCTTGTCAGGTGAAAGGGAGGCACGTTGTGCACTGGGACAGGAGATTGGAAAATCCTCAGAAACTTCAGCAATGAGTTCTAATCTGATTGTCACGAAGGACTTTTCCCTTCAATGGTTTGTAGGTAGCGGCTTTCATTTTATTTTGTATTTCTTGCTTGAGAAAGAGAACAGAAGTGATCAGTCTTTCTGCTTCTGTATGTTCTGTGTGCTTTGGCTGGATTCTTCCTCAGTCTGTATTTGTTGGTTATTTGTGTTGTTAATTACTGGTCTGTGTTCATGTCTGTAATTTGTTCTCTGTCCTGCGATAACTGACACAGTAGAAGATTCACACCTGCCGTGGAACGATCTTCACCTTCTGGCTTGAGATGAGGGCCAGAGAGCACCATTACTTTAGTCTCATATAGTTACGGAATCTACAATTTTTGAAGAAGGCCTTTAAGAAAAATGAGTATTTCAACTGTCACCTCTTTGTTATTCTGCTTATCAACAGCGTGACTGTTAAATATCCTTTTTTTGTCTTCATGGGTCACCTTTTACAAACATCCCTTTTTTATCTGTGAGAATAAATTCAGCTTTAGAGAAGGACAGGGTGGGAGTCTGAAGCGTTCAGGAGATGAGAGAAGGAACTGCTCTGGAGGAGCAAAGGGTGAATCAAAGTGTCACCAGTGGAGTGGAAAGATGGCAAGGGGAGACCTGCAGAGATGAAATAAAAACAGAGGGAGAATGCTTTCTATTGTGAGAAATGTACATCTTATTTTGCAGAAAAATGTTATTTTATGGAAGAAAAATTGAGGTAACTGTTCATGTAGTGCACTTGGAGAACAATGCCATGACTTCCCTGCTTCAGTGTGTTTCTTGGAGAGCTCCAAAGTGCAGCAGCCCAGGAGATGATTCTTCAAATGTAGACTGATAAGCTGGTGTATGCAGTACTTGCTGTCTCAACACTGTCTTGATCATAATTTTGTTTGCTAATTTTGCTGTTTTCCAAACTCATTATCAAATCCAGGCAATGACTACACCACATTCTGTCTTTCCGATTTTCAGTGCCTTTGTTGTTCTTGTTCTGTTGTTGTGCTTGCTGTCCTCAGTGGTGTAAATGTTTCCCTTTTTAGTAGAGTGGGAATGATGAACAGTTTCTGTAAACTTTGATGACTTTTATATCCTGTCTTGTTACCTTTTCTGACTCAGCACTTTTATGAAATCATTGATGATGTGGTTATGGATTAGTGGTAAGAGGTTGGAAAGGACTTCTGGAGGTGTCTTATGCAGCCTCCTACTTACAGGTTAGGATGTCTCCTGGGTGACCAGTCATGTTTTGAGTGTCTTCAAGAAGAAATTACACAACCTCTCCAGGCAATCTGTTCCACAGCTTACCCACCCTCTTGGTGATTTTTTTTTTTCTTCTATTAAGTTGGAATTTCCCACATTCCACCTCGTGTCCTTTGTGTTCCATCCTTCTGCTCTGCTCATCTGAGAGAGTCTGGCTCTGTCTTCTCTTCCCATAGGTGGTAGCAAACAGCAGTAAGATCTCCCCTTTTCTGAAGGCTGAAGTAGTGTCTGATAACCTCAGTGTACTAAGACATCCACTTCTGTGTCTGCCCTGTCAGTCTGGGTTAGTAAATTGGTACTTGCAAGCTGATGATTTGGGATTCAGCACTGAGTCAGCATATGGAGGGATGACATGAGGTGGGAGACACTCCTTGTCTGTATTTTTGGGCTGTGAGAAATATGAAATAATTTGATTAAGCTAATCATCTCCCAGACTAGCTTGGCAATACACTCGTTCGTTGTCTACAACTTTCAGACCAAATTAAGGACATAATAGTAATGTTTATGATTTGGGGAAAATAGGCAAGAGAATTAGAACAGTTTGAATTACCTTAACAGCTGAAGCGTGGTTTGGATTGTTGATAGATTTTAGTGCAGGATCAGTTTGCTCTGATTCATCAGTTTTTACAGTGTCCCTTGTTTGCCTTGCAAAGGAGGTTCCACATTCTGTTTCAGAAGCAAACTGCTAATGTTAATTCCTTGATGACTTCCAGAGCTGGAGATTGTGTCTGTGTTGAAATGTATCCCAAAACTCCAGCACAGAACCCAGGATTTAAGTTAGTGTCAAATGCTGCTCTTAGGTGTTCCTTTGAGAGACAATGTGCTGGTTGCTGATTGGTTTCTGTGTGGAACTGATGATGTTGATTTTGGTCTCTGCCCTTTGGAAACCTCATTTCTCAATTTTCTACACTTACAGCCCTTTTACATCCCTTGAAGTCCTGGTGCAGGACTTGCTCCAGGACACTTTTTGGAATGTATTTGATAGGAAAGAAAACATTGCCATTATTTGTGTCTTCTTGAATGGTTCAACACTGCCCTGTCTTTAATGGTGTTAGTGGCTCATTTTTTAGGGAACTCAGATGAAAATATTAATCAGGTGAAACAGAACTGTAATACCAGGTAGTAACTCTGTCCACAGGTTACTCACATCTCCTTTCTGGCCTGGTAAGGTACAGCAGCTTCTCCTCACTGTGCTCTGAAAACTCATCCAATAAATTATGGTAAATGTGCAACATTCTCCTTCTTTTTCATACCAGTGTAGGTTTTTTTCCCATGGACTTTTCTGCCTCTTTACTAAAAGTACACTTGTACATGTTTCCTGTGCATCAAAATGCAGTTACATTTGCCTTTCCCCCTCATTTTCACTTCCCAGCTCTGTTTCTTTCCTGGTTTTAAGTGTGGTAGCTAATTTGTTCTTTTCTGAGTGGGACTATTCATTCACTGCCTGTCTTGACTGAGTCAATTTACAGCCATTTGCTCCATTTCTGTGCTCAGTACAAATGCTCCATTTTCCTTCAGTGTCCATAGCTGAAGCTGAATCCTTAATCTTTTTTCCCTTTCTGCCAGCTGACTGTTGCTAATACTTCTACATCCACAGGTTTATCACGACTTTACAACTTCTGATGTTTTAGGATGTCCAAAGTGCAGTTTCATAACCTCAGAATGGCCCTGCTTGTTTTTTCTCCAGAATACATTGCAGGTCCCTCATCCCTCTGTTCTTGTGTGGAGTTTTCACCTCTCTCCCCTCCAGTTTGGGAGCCACTGGTTCCAGCTGATGGAACAATTTCCTCTTTGCTCTGTAGCCACATCATCCTCTACTTTGGCATCTCATTTGAAAATACTGTTTCTCCTTTCCTTTTCTCCAGAGGGTACTTTAAAGTCAGGGATTTGGCCAGTGGTTATTTAGCTAAATTAACTGGGTTTAGATACATTTTGGGGGAATGATGCTGAATGGAACTGCAGCGGTTCCCACTCACTTCACACAGTGCCGTGCAGTGTGGTGGATGAATCCAGGAGGGAATGGGACTGAGCTGGGATTGAGGAGCCCCAGACATGGTGCAGTGGGAGGATGATAGCTGTGACTGTGGCTCCTGAAGTCCTAATTCCCAGGTTGTGGTTGTAATCTTTTCCTAATCTTATGTAGCTGTTTGCCTGTGTTTCATGTTCCAAGTTGATTCATGGATTTTTTTTTCCAGCTCTGCAGCATTCACACATCTTTTTGGATCCTCTGTTCATTGCATCTGTGCCTGCCTGGTCCCTGATCATGTGAATGTACATTTTGCTGTTGCTTAGACATGACCTTTGCAGGTGTTCTCTCTGTTATTTGATTTGTTTATGGGTCAGATTTTAAGTTTCTAACCCAGTTTCAGTTTTGGGGAAGGACTTCAAAACTTGAATGAGTTTAATAAGTGAAACCTCGAGAATATCCAGTTAATATTTGACAGATTAGTAGTATATGATCAGCACAAAACTTGGTTTTCTTTCTTGAGTATACCTGACTTTGGAGCCCATAATACTTTTGAATTTATTTTTAGTATATGTTTTCTTTAAAAGGCGTAGATATATAGTGCAAGGCCTAATGTTTGTAGGTGGATACCACTATAAAATTATTGCAGCGTTTTCTTCTACAAAACTGCTTTTCTTCCTTGTAGAACTTCTGAAGACAAAAGTCTAAACTTTAATATTAACCTTATGACTTTGAAATATATTTTTGATGAAGGTTGTGACATATGACGTTTGTGTCGAATATTATTTGATCTTTTTTTATTTTTTTAAAGCATAATGGCAAAATAGGTATATACACACACACACAACCACGTGCATTACATGGACATGACTTTTGTCACCAGCTGGTTGTGCTTTTAGAGATCCACATGCTTGTATTGGTAATGACAGGTATTAGTGTATTTACGTTGTGTGTGTTTGTGTATAAAGAGTATAATATAAGTATACTTTTCTTTAATAATAGCAGATTATCCAGTCAACATCTGCTCAAACTGTGAAACGAACCCCTGCTTGCCAGACTACCCAGATTAGGATGCCAGTGGTAATAACTCAGACCATTAGACCACAAGGTATGGGTTTCAATGTTTTAGTGAGATTGTTACCTTTGTATGAATTTGGTTGTCATTACACATGGACAAACGTGCAGTGCTGACCTTGGCGACATTGTTGGCATTGATTTTTTACCTCCTGCTGGCTGAAGGGTGCATGTTTCCGTCTGCAGTTTCAAGGTGGTTCAGACCAACACAGTGCAATGTTTTGAAACAACCTCAGGACTAAACTCTCCCTTGTTTGGCTCCTTACTCAGCAGTTTTTAAGGGAAAGATCTAAAATGGTCAGGAGCTTGGCTCTTGCTGTCCTAAGCTGTAACTGTGGGCCAAGAAAGAAAGTCTTCATTTTTCCTGCCTCAATTTAATCATCCTACTTCTAATTTTTACTCCTGAAGCAGAACAGGATAGTCACTGTCTCTGCAGCTACAGAGGTCAAGGGAGGAGTCCTAGAGAAATTCCTCAAGCCTCATGGTTTATTTTTAACCCCTGCCAGTATATTAATTTTTGGTGAGGTCAGAGACTGACTTCCAGCAACCTGACATGCCACAATTAGCCATGGCATGTGGTTTGCACACAGCTTCCTCACCTGTCTGTGCACAGGTGGATCCATCCCACTTTTTGAAAGGATTCTCAAAGCCTCCTTGCTTTCTAATAAATATCCATTAGTTTCTTTCTGCCACTAAACCTGCTAGGCTTGGTTTTTATTTTTCCTGAGCACGTGTGAGAATATCTGATTGGATGTGGGCATTTACCTGACTGAGGGTTTGTAATGGGATACAGAGCTTGTCATCTTCAGGTATTGAATCAGGGACCAAATGTGTTTAAGTGCACATAAAAGCTATTGCTGCCTGTTTGCCTTCATTGCTGGGTCGTCTCTGTTCTCCTTGGGAAAAACATCAAAACCGTTTAATAGCAGCTGATGTTTCACTTGCTCTGTTCTCTTAGGGGAATCCAAAGGTTGAATGGACATGGAGACCAAGCTGTCACTGTAATCCTGTAGGCTGTTTGTCCAAGTTAGGAAGAAATACATTTACTCCCCATAAAATGTGTGTATTTGATGGCACTGATACTCATGTCCTGAGTTCATAACATGTCCATGCATCTTATAGCAGGAGCTTTCACTTCTGACGAACGTGTCTGAGAGTGAAGGCAGATTCTATTTCTTTGCTTGTTTAGTCCCCAAGTTGTGAATGTCAACAGAATGCCAAGAATTTACATGATACTGGCATCTACCTTTTAACCAGTGCATTCAGAATATGAATCTGTTCTCGACTGCCCTTGGTCAGCCAGTGCAGTGCAACTTTACTGGCACTTTGGCTTAAGGTAGGCAGTGGCTTCCAAAACACCAATTCATGCCAAGTCCTGCTTTCAGGTGAGATTATTGCAGGTTAGAAGTTTGTTTTAAGCCCAGCACTGTGTTGTTTGAATTGCACAGACAAAGCAAACAAGAAAAGGCATTTAGAAAACATCCCCTTGTCCAAGCCCTGCTCGTGCAGCCCCTGTGTGGGGAGAGAGAGCTGGGCCTGTGTGAGCAGCTCGGAGTGGCTGCTGAGGCACTGACAGAGACACTTCCTTGTGATGTATTGTTAAAACCTTTCACTGGAAACACCACCAGAGTGATATTTCATACTGGCCTAGGTGTTCCTGCAGAAGGAGGTAATATACTGGAATAGGATATGGTCTAAATAAAAATTCCAGCAGTATAATTTTGTGGAGTGTGACTTTTTAAAGGTAGTTACAGCAGAATTGAGCTGACCTCCACAGAGCACTGCATTTTCCTTCTGGAGAGGAGGGAATCCCCAGGTGTAATGAACCTTTAATACATCCATATGAACAGACTGTAATACTCTTTTGAAAGAGTGGTTTAGATAAAATTGGCAGGCTATAAGGACTTTTATATAAATAAAATTACTTCCACACCAGGGGAAGTGACACCGTTGTTATTGCATGAAAAATTCACACTCCTTTACTGAAGCACTTACCAGTATAATAATTAAGATGAATTGCATCTTATGGATGGAGGAATTGAGGCAAAGAATAAAATAATTAGGTATTCATTGCAGCCATTTAACCTGTGCTGAAATACAACTAGGAATTTATAAGCTCCTGAATTTGGGCTTATGTTTCTAGGTGGTGCTACTTAAAATTTGGAGCAAGGATGCAGTGGTGAAAGACTCTGTATGTCATTACCAATCCCATGAAATACCTAGGCCCACAGGTGATTTTGATTTTCAAACTTCTGCCCTGCCCCATAATGTAAATGGGTGTTGTAGCCATATTTTATGTCTGACTGCTTAGTCATGCACAGTCGTGATTTATTGAAACCAGAAAACTTATAAATGTCATCCCAAACCTTCCATTTACTTTACCAGATTCATTTGAGTAGAATTACATATCCTTGGGATGAAAGTGAGACTTAGATCTTCCATACCTGGTGCAGGCACACTGCTTTCCTGATAACCACCCTTTTGAGTTTTGGGGCGTGGGTTTTGATCAAAAATTATCATCTGTAGAAAACAAAGCATTGATGCTGATTCCAAAGAAATAGAATATCAATTCTGAAGGACTGCCATTGTTACCTTAATTTTACCATTGTAGTTATTTTTCATGGTTAACACGCTTTTAAGCTCCTAGATATTGATTGTACAAAGCAGAGATCTGCTAATTTTTATTTATAGTATTATTTCTTTTCTTCCAGTTCACTTAATAGAAAACCTGTCCATTAGTTCATCTGAAGCAGATAAATGAATTGTCTGGTCCATGAACCAATGCTGTCTGTGGCATCTCGTGGACCTTGAATATTCTGATGACAGAGTATTTTTATTCCCCTGGCTTGAGCCTGAAGTCCTAAATCTGGTTTTGTGTTTGCTAACACTGATAGTCCACACTCCAGTTTATTTGTACAGATGGAGAACTGAACAAACACTGTCAAATTAGTTTCTCCTTAAGATCATATGTTGGAGTTGATGAAGACTTCAATATTAAAACCCAAAGGTAATTCATGCAAGACTCATTCAAAGCTAACCCTTTTGTTTTAGCCAGGAAGAGTTCTTGAAAGGGTTTATTGGGGTAGTTGTGTTTCAAGTTTTTATAATTCGTGGAAGAAAACATCCTGTAACTCTCCTGAGGTTCATACCCTGCCAGTTGAGTCTGAGAGGTGCAGGAAAAGCTCTCCTGTCCTTCTCAAACTGTGTCACACTCAGGAAAAGGGAATGATTTACAGGAAAAAGGGGAGAGCTTTTAAGTCAAGTAGACACATGAGCTATTTTTACATGCCCAAACACAGGTGGGATTAAAGGAAACACAAAATATGACCCAAGTAAATGTATTTAAGCAGTAAGGGAGGGCTTACTCCAAAAGTTTCATTTGCCAATTCTTTTCAGTTAAATTCTGAGACTGTGCAAATAATGATGATGCTGATAATAATAATAATAATAATAATAGTAATAATAATAATAATAATAATAATAAATTTCTAATTAGCAACATAAACGTGTAATTATTTTTGGTTAGATTTTACCAAATGCCAGAGAGGAATTAAGATCCCTTTTTAATTTACTCAATGTCCACCACACTTTGGCTCATTTAGAAAGCCCAGTTTTGCTTCTACTTCAAGACCTGTGAAGTCTAGATACAGTTCTGGATTACTTTTGAATTATTGTTTTCAAGATAAGAAAGCAAAAGACAACCTTTATGGGAGGGGTTCTGTCAAATTTGGCAATAGTGTTTTTTTTCTTTTACATGCAATGCAAAACATTTTAAAATTCATGTGGTGTTTTCAACTCTGAAATAGATGTTTTTTCACTGCAATAAAGAACAATTACTGTATAAAAAATGTCAAACGCAGACTCAGTACCCTGACTGTGACTTGAAGCATCTGTATTAAGAACATTTCAAATTCTGCTTCTTTATTCTGTACAGATTATCCAGAAAAGGGGTTTGCTGGCAATTCCAGGCACAATTACAGCCCTTACAAATATTAGAGCCAGTTGTGGCCAATGGTTTTCAGTTTTGGAATCTTTACTGTTCTATAAATATTGAACAAACTGTAATGTTAATATAAATTTTGTATTTTAAATGGCTCTTCTTCGGCATGTAATCTTTAAAAATAATAACTTCCTTTGTTTGCAATTTACAGACAGTTAAATTTAGTTCCTGGACAGAAGGTTCTTTGATGTAAATTGTCTAAGACAGCTCATAATAACATTGCTTGGTGTTTTTCAGGCACAGTAGGGAAGGCACCAACAATACAAGCCAGTAAAAGTCCTGGGGGCTTTGGTGTTCAGGTCTCTGCAAATCAGAAAAACAAGCTGAATGACCCTGGAGGTGGTTCTTTCAGGTAAAAAAAGAAAAAAATAATCATAAAAAAAAAATGCAGCGGGGTGGTTGGGGGGGATCTTAAATAGCAAATAGAATTTGGGGTTGCTGTGACACCAGAGGGCAGTCTTTTACAATAATTCCTGCCTTTTCTCTCGGGATTGGATGGCAATTTTCCTACTTAATTCTATTTTAATAAAAGGGAGGGGATCGTGACATATTTGAGGATTTTTCTCTAAAAGCACAATTTAATGTTTAGCAAAGCCTTAAATTCTGTGATTATAACAAAACTCGGGCTAAACTGAATTACGAGCGTGAAGATTTAAAAGAACACACGGTCGGGTTGCTGTGTTGGATTCAGCTGTTCCTATGGAATGTGTCTGGCTGGGAAGATCCTGGTTGTGATGACAAGGCTTCCTGGCCCAAAAGCTTCTGCAGCCAGGCTGCAGCTTCCCCTCAGCAGCACAGGGGAGATCCTGCATGGTTTGGGAGGGAGTTATTGTGTGTGGGGAGGTTTGGGAGTGGGTTATCCTGGGTGGGAGATGTTGTTGTGTCTGTTCTTCACGTCCTCTCTCAGGGGGTGTCCTGTTTGTCCCCAGCTTCAAACTTTTATTTAAATGTGTATTTTGGATATTTTTACTCTTTCTTTTTTTAGTGAAAAGCAAATCTTATGTTTGCTGCATTTTGTTTTCAATAACACCATCTTAGTTGTGCACATTTTATTGGTGTTAAAACATTTTGCTTTCATGTTCAATGACAAAATGCTCCTGGATTTTAATTTTCATCTTCTGGAATTCTTATGTTGCCCTGGCATTATCAAACCACTGATTAATTTTCAGGCTTCTGCTTTTGCAGGTGAAGTAGAAGAGAATTTGTAGCTCCTTGAAATACCTCTGCTTTGAGGCATGTCAGGATTGCAACTAATAGTGGTAGTACTTAGTATTAATCTAGAAGCAAAATCATTCAATTTTTTATTTTCCAATGCTTTTGCCTCCCACTGAGTATTTAAATGAATTAAAATGTCTGTTGGGTTCAATTGTACTGTCTTAATAAGTATTTTTTATGTTTGTAAGCAACATGAGCATTTATTCTTCGTTAGTATAGCTTTCAATTTTACATCCACCAAAAGGGACAGCATTTTTTTAACTGGGTGCTGTAAACTGTGCCAGGATTGATTCTTGCATTCACTTAGTTTATACATAGAATATATTAGGTTAGCTGGAATTGTTAATTTTCCCTTAGGGAGAAGCAAATGCTCAAGGCACTGATTGATAAATCAATAAATCTTTAGTGAGTTTGGTAAATAAGCTGTCAAGGGTGTATGTCATTTTTCCTCTAGAGAACAAATTTTAGTCAGAATGAATGTGTTTGTTTCCTTGCATTGTTTTCTCCTTCAAAATAGTAAGACACAAAGCTGCATTTAAATAAGTCCATAAAATTTGCAAGGATTTATTAAACAGCAGCAAAGATCAAGCTTTTTCTTGATATCTTAACAAAGAATTCAGTTGTTTGCATATTTGCATTTCAACCCCTAACCTCTCCTGAGGACAAATAGATGTCTGACTATTAAGCCTGAAGGCACAGAGCTGGAAATCTGTATTAATCCTCTGAATGCTGACTAGTTTTCCTCAACATTCCCAGCGTGTGTGAAGAATGTGTTTTTAGCCAGAAGGCAAACTGGCATCTAAAGCAAAGCAAGAATTTTGAAAAATAGTTGTGTTATGTATAAATTTATTTTGCCCTTAGTGTTTTATTATTGCATATTTGTTTCATTATTTTACATTCTGCCTTCTTTAAAATAACTTCTTTGAGCTTTTTCACTTCTGTGAGTGAAGTGTTGGTCACTAGAAATAGAAATTTTGAACTTTGTTATTTTCTTTTTTTTTTTCTTTTTTTTTTTTTAATTCTGGACTGGGGGAGATACAAGATGGAATTACATAAAAGATGTAGCAATTAAGAACTTTGTAAATTATAGCTTAGCCTTAATGTCAGCACGTGTTAATGAACCGTAGGACTGCTTACGTGCACTGGGCATTACAGAAGCTGTTCTGGGAGGCAATTCTCAACCCAAGACTTCTCCTGCAATGGGAAGTTTCACTTGTGGAGTTTTGTGTCAACCTTTTATTTTTGTATTAAAATTTGTTGTTGCTAAATTTTTCGGAGAGAACTACAGGCAATCCACTTGGTTGCCTTTTCAGCTGTGTTAATGCCTAAGGATGGAAATTTGAGTTCCATCTTTAGTCATTTTTTCTGTTTGTGTCACAATCAGAGATCCAGAGTTAGATTTGCACCGTAACAGTCAAGATGGAGGTGTCTGTAGCTGGGACAAGCAGGAGTCCCACTGAAGTCTTGTGGGCCTGTGTTTTTGTCAGCAGCTGCCTGGTACCTCATCAGCTCATCTGGTGACCCCAGAGCTCCCAGTGCCAAAGTCCTGCACTGATGAAGGTGAAAGCAGCAGCCCCTCAAGTAATTCCTACCCTTAGTTCAGACAGTGGCCAGTATAAAGAACTAGTGGAATCACTTGTCCCTTGTGCTGGAACAGAGTAATTTCATTTGGAAGGGCCCTTGGGAGTTCAGCTGGTCCAGCTTCAGGCTGGGAGCAGGTTTGTTGGGCTGGGTGCTGGTCCAGCTCTGCAGGTCTCCAAGGGTGGAGTGGCATGTTTGGACTCCTGTGTTGTCCCACCTCAGCTGGACTGCTCTGACACCCTGGCACTGCCTGCCAGGCAAGGCAGGAGTTGGGAGATCATTCCCTGCTGTGTGTGCTGCTGACCTGTTTGGTTTGCCAGTCAGCCAGTGCTCCTTCCTCTTCACAGCAGCCTTTCTCTGGCTGAAATGGTTCCATCTCTCGGGGCCTGTCACTGTTAGGTTTTGTACAGCCAATGGGATGGGCTTTTTTTATTCCAGAGATAGTTCTGGGAACGTTTGAAGCTGATCTTAGCACCTACATTTCATTCTTCTGACTGGCTGCACTGTAGGGAGGAGTCTACCTGGGAATAAAAGAATTGTTTTCAGACCTTCTTTGCCTAGACCAAATAATTTGTTGTTTAGTATTTTATTTTCATTTTTAAAAAGAAAAGTTTAATAACACAGCTTGGCCAAAATGCCTCAAAATGCATGATGTTACATCTGATGATGTGCAAGGCAACTTGCCCTTTAAAGGAGTGATAGAAACCTAATGTAGATGTTAAGAGGATAACTTCAAAATTTTCATCTCAAAATGGTATGTGACAAAACCTTACCCTATAAGTTTCTTTGTTGTTGTCCAAATAAATATTTCAAGCTATAAGGTGACTGTGTATTTTTTCCATATATTTCAAAATAAAGAACAATGCTGGCCATGAATGTGGTATGTTCTGTCATCCCTTTTGCTTATCAGTGACAAGATTCCACATAGACCATAAATGAATTGTGTGACAAAGCAGTATTAGGGACAAATTTCAAATTAAAGCTTGAAAGTCAGAATAAGCATTATAATTAATGTGGAAATAGGATTTATACCATTATAAAATATATTATAAGAGTGGCTGTTACAGCAATTCCTAGTCACTTGTTGTTGTTGATCTCTGATCCATGGATTTGTAGCCTTTCTCAGAGTCTTGCAAGTGTGTAGAGATTTTTTCCTAGCAATGTGCAATTTTCTTTTTAAGGGAGAGGGGAATCAATAGTCTGATGTTGTTGTCTCAGTTGCTTTATGTACTCTCCTGGCTTGTTTGGGAGCAGTTCAGTATTGCAGTTTTGGGACAGCCTTGACTCAGAGTAGGAAAAGAACAGAACAGTGTGCAATCAGTGTTACCAGATTTTTATAATGGCTTGTCTTAGTTTCAACAAAATCTGAAACATTTTACAGAGAACTGTGAATACTTTGGGTTTTCTTGCTTATTTTCAGATGAGATTTTTTTTTTTTTAATTTTGTGATTGCATGAGTGTTTTTGATGAAGAGGAAAGGGAGAGGCGCTACATGAGGTGCAATATAGGAGGAAGAGTTGGACTCTTGGACTGCTTTAAGATGGAGCTTGTGTTTGGAGGGAGCTGGAGCACCCATACTGTCTAATTAAAAATATCATGAGCGTTGGAATGTTAAATTTACCCCTGAGAGACTAAGGATTTAATTCAGTCAAACACAGAAGTATTTACTGAAACAGTAGAAATAGTACAGGCAAAACAATATCTGCCAAGAAACATGAAATTGTTAAATGTTGTGCTCCGATGGAGAGGCAAACACAGACAGTAATCATCAGTCCAGACGACCACTGGATGGCATCTTTGTTCCACAGAGTGACTTCTGAAAACTCCCTCATTGGGCTTAAAAGTTCACTTTTATAGCACATTGTTTGGTGAGAATGCCAGGCCTCTTTATATTCAGATGTGTGTGTTTCAGTGTCCGAACCAAAGCTCATTTGCATGATGAGGTTCCTCGAAATAAAACAGTTTTTCTGGTCAGACTGAAAAAATCGGAGTCCCAGCTGTGATTAAAACATTTCTTACCTGTCTTCCATGTAATACAAAACCTAAAAGATCTCTTCACATGTAGTAGGTTTCAAGGATGGAAGGAAATGATTCTGTCCAGGAGTTCCAGTAATGGTCTTTGTAAGTGCCATTGCATTGGTTTTGATAATTTCATTGATATCCTGGTTTGTGCCCAAATTAATGGTCTGCTTTTTCATTTCAGAAGATATTTGCTTATTTCTAATGTCGTTGCAGATTTTAAATTAAAATTGGAGTAGCTAAAATGCTGAGCAGGAGGGAGGTCAAAGATCGACTATACTTTATTAATCTATTCAATAAAAGGAGAGAGAACTATAAATTTTTTAAAACTTGTGCGCCGAGTGGGACGTTCCACGCGGAGCTGCGATGCCTCGTGGTGGCCCTGGGACCCCCCTGTGGGCACCACAGACATGCCATGGCACGGGGAAAAGAGGGCACAGTCGGAGGGCTGGAGCAGCTCTGCTGGGAGGAAAGGCTGGGATAATTGGGATTGTTCAGCCTGGAGAAGAGGAGATTTGGGGTGAACTGATTGTGGCCTTGCAGTGCCTGAAGGAGCTGCAGGAAAGATGGAGAGAGAGAGCATTTGCAAGAGCCTGGAGGGAAAGACAAGTGGGAATGGCTTCAAACTGCCAGAGGGCAGAGTTAGATGGGATATTGGGAAGAAATCCTTCCCTGTGAGGGTGGGGAGGCCCTGGCACAGGTTGCCCAGAGAGGTTGTGGACTCCCTGTCGCTGGAAGTGTCCAAGGCCAGGTTGGACGGGGCTTGGAGCAGCCTGGGTTGGTGGAAGGTGTCCCTGCCCGTGGCAGGGGGTGGAACTAAATGAGCTTTAAGGTTCCTTCCAACCCTGCCCACTCTATGATTTTGCAACACTGTTCTCTGGAATTTCATTTTAAGAGAAGAAATCAAGTGCTGAACAGTCATGGGCAATAATAGAATCTCATTTGTGTAGCATTTTTCTGACAATCTTTGTAAAATTTTCCATTTCCTCCCTCAAGTGTTCAGCACATTTCTGCAGGTTCACACCGTCAAAAATCCCTTCTTGACCTCTTCCACAGAAGAAAACAAAACCGGTATCTGACAAACCACGAAAGTCTTCCACCAAACTTGGCAGCTCTAGTGCAGATAACAGGGAAAGGATGGGAGGACAGGGAGGACCTAGATTATGGATTTCTGGATTTCCCTCCTTTTATTCTCAGACCTTACTTGCAGCTTTTGTTTTTTCCTGTAGATGTTAAGCTTTTTACAAGTGACAAAGTAAAGTATTCGAGGGTGCACAGGACAATATCGAAGTAATTTTTTTAAAAAATATTTTAAATTAAGCATTTGTTTGTTTACTTTATAAAGTAGTAGGAGTCAGGACTTTTCCATATATATATTCTCAAAGGTTGTGTAATCACTGGTAGAATATGTTGAAATACAGTGTTTGTGTCAGTAATAGCCCCAGAACAGAATGTGCTGAATACAGATGGCTGTTTCCACAGCTCTGAGTCATACCTCGTGCAGGGAGGAGGTGACAGATGCTTGGGAGATACAGGTGTGGAAACTCAAATTTGTTGGTACTTTCTCAAGCTGTTGGGAAGGGTATCCAGGGCCAAAACTGGCATGGGAAGTGCTATCCTCTTCTCAAATGTAGCATGTTTTTTTTAAATTGTTGACACATTCAGCTGATTCTTGTGTGTTGCCAGAGAAAATACCATCACCTGCTCAAACACACTTGGAACCCAGGCTTACCTGTGAACTCTTCATGGTCACAGAACCTTCCCTGGCTGTTCTTGAAAATGCATTGATGCCCATTTTGGTAGGCACTTGTGGAACGGTGCAGGATTATAATCCATGGTTTTGCTTTTAATTTCTCTTGGGGGGGGTGTTATTTATTTTACCATCTTACTCCTAGTTTTCATTACAAAGAGAATGGCCAAATGCTTTGTCATTAGTGGTGGTCATTGCCTTGAGTTTGCTGACCATCCTGATTTCACTGGTACCACTGACTCTCAGATGAATTCCCCTCTATCACACCTTCTGTTAACACTCAAATTGTCCTGTTCCTAAAGTGTTCCTGGCACAATCAGAGAAATACTCAGTCATTTCTGACTCCAAAACACATCCTGTGCAAAAGGAGACAGCACTGGTCGTGCCTGAGCTCGGCCCAGCCCCTGGGAGCACGTGGAGCAGCAGATGGTCCTCAAAGTGAACGCATCACATGCAGAATTATTATTATTTTCTTTTTTTGGCTTTTTCCATTTCATTGCAGAGACGACGATGACATCAACGATGTCGCCTCTATGGCTGGTGTTAATCTCAACGAAGAGAGTGCCCGAATCATGGCCAGCAACTCGGACTTGGTGGGGAACCAGCTGCAGTCCTGTAAGGATGAGCCCTTCCTCGCTGCTGTCCCCCTGCACAAACGCATCCTTGAAACGGGTGAGAGGCACCTCTTTCCTTCTTGTAGTGCTTCCTTCACAGTTCTGTGCTGCTCACTAACACAACATGCTCAGCACTTAAGGGTGTATCTAAGCATTTGATTACACAGTCTTTGTATTGCTGAACTTCCAAGGTTTTTCTGATAAAAGGAACTTAACCTCAAGTTGAGGGGAAAAAAAAAAGAAAATAGCGTGCTGGTGCTTTTAAACTTCATGCTTTTCCCGTGTTTTTTTTATATCCGAGGATCTCAAAGCTCTTTGCAAACATTAATTATTCCTCACAGTCCTCCTTCATGTTTTGCACATGAGAAGGTTGAAACAGAGAGGTGAAGGAAGTAGTACAGGTCACAGAGGACACCTGTGAATAACATTTAACAGAATGTTGAAGTTCCCTGTCAAGATTTTCTTGCCCCGTACAAACCAGTTATTCAGTTCTTAACACCTGCATCTACTGAAGTTCATAGTGATTTTCTTGTGGCATTTTTTCCAAAAGCTGTATTTATTTTATCGTGGCAAAAAGGTGTATTTATTTCTGCCATTTGAAGAAGGAAGTTAAAAAATTTAGTAGAGTAACCCTTCAAAATCAGTGATGTTTTAAGGTTAGGATGTATGCTTAGAATGTATTTCTTATGACAGACTTCATTAGTATACTCTGTATATTCTAATACCTAAATGTGTACTTTTCAGCATAATTTTGGTAATGTTTTCAGTGCCATCAGTGTCATCAGATACAAAGCTCAAATTGTTTAGCAGTGTAAATCACATATTTCTATCAGACCTATGCTTACATCACACATTTTTAGGGATCTGTTTCTCATAGTTTTAAAGATAAGACCAAAATTCTGTTGCAGATCAGCACAGTTATTTTTTTGAAGTCATGTGGTTGCTTCTGAACTGTTATTTGTGTTTATGTTCATGGAATTAACGGGAGCCTCTTTATATTGCAGTTGCAGGCGAGTTCTTCACTGACTTATTGTCAGCCCTCGCTCTTGTACTTCCCTAAATGCCCTTTTAGGTTCCCCCTTCAGAGAAGGGCGTTGTGTTGCTGTGGTTATCACTGGCTGGTGTGATGATGGGGTTATGTGGCGTGGGGAGGTGTGTGCAGCAATCTGTGAGCTGCCTTCCCACCCCCTGGCACTGACAGCCAGCAAGGGCTGCATGAAAAATGTTTGTCAAACAAATCCTCGCACAGTAGTTGGTGCAGGTGGAAGAAAACAGAAAGGGAACAGACACAAAACTGTTTTTTAAAAAAAAAAATGGGAAATCAGTGATGAATTTGCCACATAAGCCCTAATGAGCTGTCTGGGTGTAACAATTGCTGCACGACATGAAGCTGTAATTACAAGTGCAGGACTTACAGGAATCTGTACATACTTCAAGAGCCACAGAACCCATCACACTATTCATCACCGCCTTTTGGGGTTTGCTCCTCTGAGGAACAAATCCCCGTGGCTGTTTCTGAAGCTTTATTGGCTTTGATAATTGAAATGAAACTTTCAAAGCTTTTAAAAGCAGCTGCAGGGATTTACTTCTCAAAAGCGGCGCATCCAGAAGAGCGGCCACTCCTAGTGATCTCCTGCAGCCACTTTTAGAGCTTTATTTTGGCTTTACATGAAGCCTTTTATAGTTTGGAAAGTGGCTGTGGGGTTCACAAGTGGGCTACTATCTGGGATCTATGGCTCTTGAGGAGGGAATTCCTTCAGCTTGATTTTGAAGTTTTAGAAGCTTGGTTTTCACTGTGTGTGGCCAGATTTGTTGTTTGCTTAGGACCACACACAAATTTAGTAGTTTGTGCTACTGGGCACTTAAAATAACGACACTGCAAGGCCATGACAAAGCTCAGTCTTGCCATCTGTGGCTGTGCCTGGACACACCAGGACTAAGCAAAGCTCCTGTGGCCTTCTGTTAGGAAAATGTGTGTTATGGGAGTCCTTGTTCTTCTGTTTTCATTATACCCGTTGACAAATACCACAAAACACACTGTTTGTTCTTACTTTTACCTGAATATGACTTAAACAGATGTTATTTTCTAGCTTCGGGTCTGTTCCTGTTTAATCACTTCAGTTTTAGGGCAGGTTTTTAGTGTTTGAGTAAAAGAGAGCTTTGTGGTGTGTACAGTGTTAGGAAACTGCTCCTCTCTCCTTTCTCAGAAGCCAGAGCTTTCAAGTTTTCTGTAATATTAATCTCCTCCTCTCTTTTCTGAGTAAGAGCTCTGTCAAGCAACTCAGTAGTGTTCCCCAAAGGCTGTTTCAGAGATTGTGCTTCCATTCACCAGGGCTGGAATATAAACTGCTAAAGTGAGAGCAGATGCTCTTCAGACTTTGGCAGTAACCACCAGCCAGATGCCTCAAAGTTATAGTGAAAGAGGTTTCTTAATATATTGCATGTTCTTATCTCGACTTTAACTTGGCACTGTTACCATCCAAAGTTTATTTTAAATCTAAGTGACTAATATTGATCCTTCTAAATGGAAGAAGTAACTGGAAGGTAATGCATGCAAAGATATTCATCCACTTCCCACCTGCTTCCTTATCCAGTTTTGTATCTAGTCATTTGGGGCAGGTAATCATTTGTTCCTGTAGGAAGGCGGTGCTGTGACTGTTTCAAATTCTCCTTTGATGCAAAATCAAGAGTGGGGATTTCTCTGCAGATAATGTATTGCTTTTGCTATTCCGTTCAGGATCATGAAACTGTAAACCCTGATCTTTTTACATGACAGCACAGCACAATGAAACATATGCAAAAAAAGGGTTGTGAGGCTTTTGTTTCTCTTTTGGGGAAGTTGAGAGGCAGAGGTTGATATTCCTCATGCATGTGCATGCAAACTCTTAAACCTTTCTGGGTCTTTAACCTTGTTAGCAGGATGAGTAGTGTTTCTTTAGAGGGCAAACAAGCTGATTAGACCCCGCCAAATAAATAATGCTGACAAATCCTGGCTTTTCCATGGGGTTTTGTGGGAATGAAATGAGAAAAATAACCTTAATAATTTGTAATTGTTTCACTTTTGTTCATTCTTAAGCTGTAAGAATGCTGTGTTAGGTTTTAGAGGCTGGTTTTTGACCCTGAGTTTTCACTGTTTACCCAGTGGGGCAGCACTCAATAAAGCAGGTTGTGTGAAGTGTGACAGTTTTCTCTGGTTTGTAACCATCCTGTGAAATCCTTGGCTCAGGAATTTCTTGATTACAGGATTGTTTCTGAGCACAGATAAGAACTGGGCTGCACTGCATTTGATATTAAATATTAGTGAAAGGTAGCAGGACATAGCAAAGGGTGGGATAAAAGATGATCCTGTTTATAATGCCTGGTAACTAAATCTGTGGAAAAAGGGAACAGCTCTGTCATGTGCTCTTCTGGAAGGTCTTTTGACTGAGAGTTGGGGTCTCCAGAACCTTCACTCGGGGTTCCAAAAATCTTTGCTTTATGTTGAGTTGTCAACAGGGCTTGGTGTTCTCACAGGCTTAGAATCTGCAGCAGCTTGTTAACTCCCCCACCTTTTAATTCTGACTGTTTCCTTCCACAGATGATGCCATTTTGATTTTATTGAGTGTCCCTGAAACTCACAACTTGGGGTGGATCTTAACCGTAAATTAACTGTCCTAATGCCATACTAATGGAGCAGAAGTCTGGCTTACTGTATTCTTTGACTTAGATGGTTTCTTTCTCTTTTTCTCTTCATTTTCAGTGTTCTTCACCCACTTTTTCTACTCCAGTTTTATTGTTACAGAGCACTGGCTGAATAGAATAATTACAAATGTGGCATTCTGAGAAATGTGGGACTGGTTTGGTCATATTGAAAACATTTTAACTGTCCATCCTTTATCTTCAAGTTGTTTTAACTTAAATATGCTAAAAATTCATTGGAAAATCATCAATGATATTTTTATTTCACATTCATTCAGAGTATTTTACATCTGCATTAAGAAATCAAATTTTCTATAGCGTGATTTTACAAAATATTGTCTTCATATGTGTTATCTAGCATTGTTATAAATTTCCTTTGGAAAAAGTGTGTTATCTTGATAACATAGCATAGATCTGCAATATTTCCTACCACAAACTTAGAACTGGCTTCTCTTGCTCCATACAAATAGATTTTTAGGCTAGAACACACAGAGTGGTGCATGCCAGTTATTATGAAGCTTGAAAGAGGCCTACAGTGTTCCTAAAAACAGTTCAGAGAAGCTTGGCTTGGTAGAATTAAGCCACTGTCCCTATCAATGTAACAGTTCTAGGGTTAGCTCAACATAATTTACAGATTTACCTTTTTGTTCTTTTGCATGTAAAATATTTTTTATTTCTCTCTGGTGAAATACTGATCATTGTCCTGCCTTGATTCCTTCTTTGTTCAGCCACACTGGAGTTGCATGTCTGCTCTAAAACTGCAGGTCAAAACATACAGAAATAGTTTATCTGTGTTCCCTGTGTCCTGGAGTGTACTGAATCTGCAGTGTGGCATCGCAGTGGCAGCAGTTGTCTGCATATGTACATATTTCGAATAAACAATTTGAACACTCTGGAAGGCATTTTTATATTGCTGAACCACGTTAAAACCTGTTGGGGTGCCTTTGGTGGAACCAGGCCAGGAGATTTCAGAGCCTCTCTTTAAAGCAGTTGTTGGTAGTTCTGCCATCCTCCTTTGGTGGGCATGTTTGTCAACACTTGTGTTCCTGTTCCAGTGAGATGAAGCTGCCCTGGTTGGGGTTGCTCTTTCATATACAGAGCAGCTCTGACATTAAAGTGTGCTCATTTCTTCTGCTTGCTGTACTTTAGAGGGCTTTTATTGCAGTGCTTGTGGGGTCTGAAATTCTGAGCTCTCTGATTGCCTGGGAGTGGAATTTTTGTGTTTTCACTGCACTTGTTGTCGTTGCGACCTGGTGGTTTTCATTGCTGACTTTTAACTTTTTATCCACGAGTTGATTTGTCTTCAAACTGAAAGATTTGTTTTAATCCCCCTTTTTCCATCAGCGTCTTTCTGTCAGGATGAGCTCCTTGAATGCCTGT